CCCGGGGATAACGGTCGCTGTCGCTCGGTGAAGAGACGGAAAAGCTGGGCCCGGGGCCGGCGGTAAGAGAGAGGGGGATCCCCGGGACCGGATCACCCGGGGGCGGGATCACCCGGGACCGGATCACCCGGGGGCGGGATCACCCGGGGGCGGGATCACCCGGGGGGCGGGATCACCCACATCTTCAGCAGCACACCTAATTATCTGACTCAAGAGTCCAAAACGCTAGGCCCCACTAAATTCCAGGTGGAGATTGTAAAAAGGCAGATTCCTCCCTCAACGTGGCTGCATCTAACTGTGATCAGAGAAAAAAAAAGTCTTTACCATCAGTATGTGACTGTGATCAGACTGTGTAAGGTGTTACAAGGTTTGGGGATTGTGTGGGATATTAGAGGGTTTGCGGAGTTACTGGGATTAGCCTGAGGGATATTAAACAGTTTGGGGAGTGAATGGGATTAGTGTTTGTTTCTCTCTCTCTCAGCTGTGGTCTCTCTACAACCTCTATTTTCTGTCCTTCTCTCTATCTGCCTTCTATGTGAATAGTACACGATACCTTTCTTCCTATGTCTTTGTCCGTGCAATATGTGAATGATTACATTCTGTTTCTCTCACTCTGTGCCATGTGAATAATATATATATGTTCTGTCTCTCTCTGAATAATCCACCATGTTTCTCTCTTCAGGTTCTGGCGCTATTTGCAGACTCTCCCTGCCTGGGTTACAATGTGCTCATTGGCTGATTCAACAGAATTATTGTATAAAATGTTTAGGATTGTAACAACTCGTCTCTGACAGGATGCTATCTCTGTAACCTCTGCCTGTTCCTTGATTTACTGTTGACACGATTTTTGATCTTACATGGATCCATTGGGTGTCTGCAGTGACATGAAGATTTATTTTGTCCTTGCATTTCTCTTTACTAAGTGAATCACAAGGTGAAACTGATTTATTTCTGTGTATTTAAAGCTGCTAATTCAGCATTCCTACTAGAGGGCATCTGCCTTTAAAAGCTTTGAGAATATGTAGATCATAAAATCCCTTTGGCCCAACAAATCCACATCGACCCTCAGAGCATCCCACCCAGACTCATCCCCCTATAGCCCACCTAACCTACACGTCCCTGAACACTATGGGCAATTTAGCTTAGCCAATCCACCTAACCTGCACATCTTTGGACTGTGGGAGGAAACCAGAGTACCTGGAGGAAACCCACGCAGACACGGGGAGAATGTGCAAACTCCACACAGACAGTTGCCTGAAGGTGGAATTGAACCTGGGTCCCTGGCGCTGTGAGTTGGCAGTACTAACCACTGAGCCACCATGCTGCCCCTAAAAGGTGGTGTATGTAGAAGGTGGTGTTCCATGTATCTTCTGACCTTGTCCTGGATGGTAATGGTTGTGGGTTTGGAGATGCTGTCTAAGGAGCCTTGGTGAATTTCTGCAGTGCATCGTGTACATGGTACACACTGCAGCTACTGAGTGTCAGTGGTGGACTCGGTTGATATAGAGTCCATTTGGGCGGAGGTAAAAAGAACAGCAAGAGAAAGAAGCCATTGATAGACCCCAAACAGCCTCTCCTACAGAGTGGTGATTACAAATCAACAAATAATAGGAGGAGGTAATAAAGTAGGGCAATGGGTGACTTTAATCTTCATGTTGATTGGGTTTAGCAGCAAATTACTGCAGATGCTGGAATCTTTGGGAAGGTCAAGTACAGGCAGAAATTATACAGTGAATGGCAGAGGGATATGGGTGTGCGGGTCCACAGATCACTGAAGGTGGCAGCGCAGGTAGTGAAAGAGGCCTATGGCATGCTTGCTTTCATTGGAAGGGCCATTGAGTATAAGGATAGACAAGTTATGCTGCAGCTTTATAGAATTTTAGTTCAACCACACTTGGAATATTGTGTACAGTTCTGATCACCACACTACCAGAAGAATGTGCATGCTTTGGAGAGGGTATAGAAAAGGTTTACCAGGATGTATGGTATGGGGAATTTTAGCTATAAAGAAAGATCGGATAGATTGGGTTTGTTTTCACTGGAACACTGGAGGCTGAAGGGCAACCTGACAGAAGTTTGTAAGATTGCGAATGGCATGGATAGAGTGGAACTGGGTTAAGGGGACAATTACTAGGGGACACAAGTTCAAGGTGCAGTGGAGGATGTTTAAAAGAATGTGCAGGCTAAATTTTTCATTCAAAAGGTGGTGAGTGAATGGAATGCGCTGCCAGAGAAAGTGGTGGAAACAGACACAATAGCAGCATTCCAGAAGGACCTAGACGAATATGTGAATTGGAAGGGAATAGAGGGATACGGATTCTGTAAGTGAAGATAGTTTTAGCATGGAAGGGCAAAATGTGTTGGCGCATTTGGCTATGTGAGGGGACGTATAGCTTTAAATTGAGGGGTGATAGATATAGGACAGATGTCAGAGGTAGGTTCTTTACTCGGAGAGTAGTAAGGGTGTGGAATGCTCTGCCTGCAACAGTAGTAGACTTGCCAACTTTAAGGGCATTTAAATGGTCATTCCATAAACATATGGATGATAATGGAATAGTGTAGGTTAGATGGGCTTCAGATTGGTTTCACAGGTCAGCGCAACATCGAGGGCTGAAGGGCCTGTACTGCGCTGTTATGTTCTGTGTTCAGGCTTGGAGGGTCGAACGGCCTGTTCCTGCGCTGTATTGTTCTTTGTTTTGTACTGAAAACAACAAATGCTGAAGATCGCAGCTGGTTAGGTTGCATCCATGGAGAGAAAGCAAGCTAGCATTTTGAGTTTAGATGACTCTTCATCACAGCTGACATGAAGTGTGGGGGGTATGGGGGTACCATTTATGTAATGGTGGGGGGGTTGGAGTGCTGGGGGAGAAAGGATGTTGGTTAAGTTCTGATTAAGTGATCAGACTGTGAGCAAGCAGATCAATGGTATGTCTAACTGCCAAACTGGAAAGAACGCACAGTCCCACTGGGGTCAGGGGAGGGGAGAGAGGACATGGTGACTGAGAATGTAACAAGCAAAGCTAAAAGAAGGGGAAGGAATGGATTAACAATCTGAAGGTATTGAACTCAATATTGGCCTGAAGGTTGTAAAGCGCCTTGTCTTAAGATCATGGTTAATTTACTCTCTGCCTCAACTCCAGTTTCCTTCATAACACTTCAACTCTACACTAGTTAAGAATCAATCTCCTTAAATGTACTCAGTATCCCAGCATCCAGTGCACTCTCTGCGAATGAATTCCACAGATCCGCCACCCTTTTGAGCGAAGTAGTTTCTCCTTATCCCTGTTTTGAATCTTCAGCACCTTATCCTAAAACAATGGTCTGCTTCTGGATTGCTCCGCAAGGGAAAATATCATCTCTATGTCTACTTTGTCAATCCCCTTTAGCATGTTATTTCGCTCAATTTGGCAGGTAATGGGGAAGGCAAATACAAAGTTGGCCTTTATTTAACTGGGACTGCAATATAAAAATAGGGAAAAAATAAAGGCAAAAACTGCAGATGTTAGAAATCAGAAACAGAAATTACTGGAAAAACTCAACAGGTCTGGCAGCATCATCGAGGGAAATCGGAGTTAACGTTTCAGGCCCTATGACCCTTCTTCAAAACACATAAAAATAAGGAGGGTTTGCTAAAATGTACAAGGCACTGGTAAAACCAATCAACAAAAAAACCAAAAGAACTGCGGCTATTGGAATTCGGAAACAAAAGAACAGAAATTGCTGGTACATCTCAGCAGGTCTGGTGGCATCTGTGCAGAGAAATCAGAGTTAGTGTTTTGGGTCCAGTGACCCTTCTTCAGAACTTTTTCATAATTCCTTATCTAAACAATTAAAGCCATCCAGAAGAGGTTCACTACACTGATATGAGGCCTGGAGGGACTGTGTTGTGTGAAGAGGTTGAGTAGATTGGCCCTGTCCTTGTTGGAATTTAGACAAATGAGAGATGACTTTATTGACAGGGTAGATGTGGAAAGGTTGTTTCCTGTTGTGCGACAGTCTGGGACCACATGGCCTGATCTGAGAATGAGGGGTCACATGTTTGGGAGAGAGATGGGGGAAATTTCTAGAGTGTTGCGGATCTGTGGAATTCCTCACCACAGAGGGCTGCTGAGACTGGAGCATTGAGTATATTCAAGATTGAGGTAGGTAGACTTTTAATTAGTAAGGGAATAGAGGATTTATGGGTAAAAGACAGAAGAGTAGTGTTGAGGATTGAGATCAGCCACAATCTCATTGAATGGTGGAGCAGACTTGAAGGACTGAATGACCTACTTCTGGTCTTATAGTCTTGGTGGTGAGCAGATCTCTTGGACTGCTGTAGATGAGCTTTCAATGTTGTTAGTGATTTTGACTGAGTGTCACTGATGGAATGGCATACGTTTCTATGTCAGGATGGTAGGTGAACTTGCAGATGGTGGTACTCCCATGTGTCTGCTGTCCTTGTCGTTCTAGATGGAAGCAGTGATGGGTTTGGAACCAGTGATGTTCCGCAAGGATCAGATCTGTTGTTTGTAATATTTGTAAATGATTTAGATGAAGATGTAAGTGGTCTGATTTGTAAGTTTGCAGATGATATGAAAATTGGTAGAGTTGTGAAAAGTGAGGAAAGTTATCAAAGGATACAGCACAATATAGATCAGTTGGAAAGCTGAGCGGAGAAGTGGCAGATGGAGTTTAATCTGGACAAATGTGAGGTGATGCATTTTGGGAGGTCAAATGCAGGAGGAAAGAGTACAGTAAATGGCAGAACCCTTAGGAGTATTGATATACAGAGGGATCTTGGGGTGCAAGTCCATTGCTTCCTTAAAGGGGCAAAACAATTGGCTAAGTAGGAGTACAAGGTCAGAAATCACAGACACCAGGTTAAAGTCCAACAGGTTTATTTGGAAACACAAGCTTTCGGAGCCTAGCACCTCCTTCAGGTATTAGTGAGACAGATGGCATCAGACACAGAATTTATAAGTAAAAGATTAAAGGGTCACACCACTAATAAGGATGTAATGAGCAAACCTAAGATGTTGTTAAATCTTTAATCAGCTTTTTAAATTTAATATGTAAATCC